ATATATATTTAAATATTTATTTATTTATTTGAAAGAGTAACATAGAAAAAAGCCAAAGTGAGATGAGAGAGCAAGTGAGAGAGACAGAGATAGAGATTTTTTCCCCCCACCAACTGGTTCACTCTCCAAATGGCTTCAGTGTCTGGGGCTGGGCCAACAAGTCAGCACTCTGGAGCTTCTGGAACTCCCACTCAGGTTCAAGGACCCAAGCACACGGGCCCTCCTCTGCTGCTGTGTGGACAGCCAGGTCTCCCACATGGGATGTTGACTCTGCAGGATCCTGGCTTCAGCCTGCCCAGCCACAGCTGGGAAAAGCATTTGGGAAATGAACCATGGGTGGAAGATTTCTCTTTTATTTTCCCTCTAATTCTGTCATTCTGCCTTTCAAATTACCCAATCAATAAAACTAAAATAAGCATTTTCCTAAGAGAATATATTGATGTTCAATTATTGTAAGAATAAATTCTATCATTTAATTTTAAAAGTGGGTAGGAAATTGACACAGCATATGTATTTGCACAGTTTCTGACTTTGGAGAATCCTCTTAATCCTCGGAGGAAAAAGATCCGTTTGGTTGTTTTCACTCAGAATCGCTAGAGGTCACCAAAGTCTCAGAAATTATTTGCATTTATTTTTTTCTTTGCATGTTTTGAGTCAAAGGGATGTTTCTGGCCTCTCAAGTTATGCAGTTCTACGCATTTACTGGAAGACCTCTAGCTGCTTAGGCTTAAAGAGAGTAAACTGTTTGGACTAGCTTTTTTTTTTTTTCTAATATTAAATACACGCTGAAACAGACAGCCATCTATCTTTGGGACTATTCAAAACAGATGGGAGTTTCTGGAGAAAGTGATTTATTTCCTCGTCTGATACCAAAGGGCCTATTGGCTGATACCTGCTGAATGTGAGCTCTGAGTCATGTTGTTGAGACAGAACCACAGAACACCCAGCAGCAGCACACACTGTTTCAAATGAAACAGCATGGCCCATTTCAAGGAAAAAACGCTGTGCCTTTCCTGGTAACATGTGTGGTGGAGGAAGGCTTCAGTGAAGCAGAACATTCAAGAACACCCATTGCATCCTTTTGAATAACAGACCACACTACCTTTCCGCATGTCAATGATTCATTTTTTTTTTTTTTAAGCTCAAATCCCCAGACCCTAAAACTATGGAGAGGCTAGAAAGTCTCAAAACCTGCAAATATTCAAAGCAACTACGCCACTTCAAAAGATTTGTCAAGCAGAGATAGAAACATATAATAACTACTTATGCAGGGAGGCATAATTCATGCTTTCCGTAGTTAAAAAAGCATATCAAAGGTGTGTATTGATCAGGAGTTAGTTACAATAGACAAAGCAGCTCATGCTTTCAATGCTTCGATCAGCGATAGAGAAATGAATTTCCTGGTCATATCGATGAGTCTGTGTTAGAATGATCTTCTGGGGAAACTCAGCAAACCTTTCTTTTTTCATAAGAACACGCAATGTTTAGGTACTTGAGAAAACCATGGTTAAAATTTTGGTATAAGTCATAAGCTGGAAGACTTCAAGCCAACATCAACGTGGCACGTTTTGCATTCAGGCTTGTTCCTTATTCCATGGACCTTGTTTGACTTTGATCTTGGTTAACTTTGAAGTGACCAAAGTTCCCACTTTCCAAGAAGTTTCTTTCTTTCTTTTTTTTTCTTTAACTTAAATCAGACAGGCAGGCAAAAGAAAGCTAAATTTTGAAAGAAACGAAAACAACTAGACTTAGTCAATTATATGTTTTTCCTACTTTGCTTAAAGTCGCACATTGCTACTTTAGAACACGTAGAACACTTTATATCAGTGAGTTATTTATTGAGTTGTAAATAAGTCACATTTTCCACTGTATTTTAGGAGACACATTTGAAAACATGTTGGAAACTGCTATATGACTGGTGTAAAATTTTTAGTAGAATACAAACTTTCATATTGTACTTAGTAATATATTAAAAGTCTTTAAAAATTAGCTATTAATAGGAATTCTTACATTAGAGATCTTTCACTTTTATAAAATTTCTTATAGTATTTATACCCAAATTGACTAGAAATTCAGGTTATACTGCTATCATGAATGTCATTTTACTCAGTAATCAAGTACATATATAGATGTACACATGCATGTGTGTATGAATCTATTATTTGGAGGCAATGGAATTGATTCTGGGTCTTAAAGGGTACCAAGAGTAGTTGCTTTGCAAGCCATTTTAAATTTCATTCTATCCATGTACCATTTCTCTCCTTTGAGATGATCTTACCTATTTTCTTCTAAGCCTACAAAGCAAAACTTTTCCTTATTGAAGCAAATTTTTCTTATGCCAATTTACCCTCAGAGTGCCCTGGAGTTGGTCTGCATTCCTGTCACAACCTCGAACCAAAAAAAAAAGCAAAAACATAAGTCAAGCCATCAAAATTTTCCTTTGTGTTAAACTGATATTGGGAAATTGCAAACAAAGGGTTGGCTGCTGGACCTGCGGTCTGATCAGGGAGGCATGTAAGGTGTAGTTGAGTATTTAAAAGCATGTTGGAATAGAAAATTTCATCTGCCTGGAGGCACAAGATCTCTTTCCTATATTAGTATTTTACCTTCTTTTGGACTCTGGGAAGAAAGCCAGAAATCAGCTGATGTGGTTGTCTGCAATGGAGGAAGTTAGGGAAGAAACTCAAGAAGAGGATTCAGATACAAGTGTGGTTCCCTGGGTGGAAATGGGTGTCTGGGCTTACCCATTTGAGCGTGTCATGAGCACGCCGAGGCACCAAGGACGTTGAGCCTCCTGCCTCTGTGTTGTTTGCTGTGACACTGGGGACAATCACAGCAGGTTAGGGTCACAGGGCATTGACATCTGAATCTTTTTGTCTTGAATCCTAAGCCTTCTTGACACTAAACAAGATATTGAACCTCTTGTAGCCTCAATTTTACCTTTTTAAAAATGGATTTAAAACATGCCTGGGAGCATTGCATGAAGATTAAGCAAGAGCCAAAATGTAAAGTACTAACACAATATCTAAGTGATAATAAATGCTGAGTACCATTTTGTTTTCCTCCACAGATAGCTATTGTAGGATTAAGTGACTTACTGACCTATTGTTTGTAAAGTTACTTTGTAAACTCCAAAAGACTAATTGGGCATAAGTCATTATTAATACAATTTTACATCTATATTTATGGACACTTAGTTTTAATTTTTGTGGGGGAAAATTTTAATCAAGAAAAAAAATCACAGTCTAGAGCTGATAAAGAAATTCAGCCAGAAAAGTCAAATTGAAGAAATTACTCATCTTCCCCAAAGAAGAATTGTTTAGTAGTTAACAAAGAGTTAATTTTATTATTGTGTATCCTTCTTCTGAGCTCCTAAGTGGTGCAAGATATAGACAAAAAATACATTAGGTGAAGGTGCATATTGGAAAAGAGGGAAAAGGAAAGATGGGTGTTAGAACATGAACTTCGGTGTCAATTACTTTAAGGAATAGAAATCATTTTAAAATGCAGTTTGGTTTGAATTTCTATTTATTCAAAGCCTAAATCAGACAAAATCCACTAAAGCAACTTGAAGAAGGCTGCTTTGTCAACTTTTTGATGCTACTCCTAAAGTTCCCACTGTGGTTGGAAAACTCAAGTCACATGGACCAAGTCAAAGGTCTTGCTAAATAAAAGCTGCTGCTGCTGGGTGGTAAAGACCGCAAGAATTCAATGTTGTGTACCCCACAGGGGGCGCTAAAAAAGAAGGCGAGTGCTTAAGTCAGTAGAGCACAGAACACACACAGGCCATTTCCATGAGCAGGAAGTACTTGGAATTCACTCAATCCAAGTTAATGCTGTGTGCGGCTGCTAAGAAGACATAAATCATGGCCCCAATGTACAGTGACTTAGTCAATGTCTTGAAAGATTTTGGAGAATCAAGGTCATAAGTCAATCTGATATGGAATTACTAGGCCATAAGCTACAAGAGAAGGAGCTACATCGAGACAAAAAGAACATAACCAAGAAATGAAAACACATTGCAGTGTGCATCTCTGCTCATGAATACAAGAAAGGACCACAATGAAACTCTGAAATTTATCTTGACAACAGGATGCTGGACTTTCTATCATTGTCTGTTCCTACCATTTCATGACGCACTTAAATAGCAGAATGATGGACTTGTGACTGTTACTGAAGGATGATGCTGTTGTTATGACATAGGGGAAATCAGTGACAGAGAGGGGAGTGAAGAGGGGCGTAGAGGGAAAATCCTAGAGCCTAAGGAACTGTATCATGAAGAAAAAAAAAAAGACAAAGAGAACTTGTTAAGAAGTCAACAGCCCATCTCTGCCTCTTACTCTGTGACTTTAGTCAACTTGCTCAAAGGACGAGCTTCCATCTCTATATCTGGAAAAAGGTGATAATGATAAACACCTCACTGGGCTGAATGAGAAAATGTATGTGGAGATTTTAGCACTCTGACATAAGAAGCAACTATGACTACAAATAATATTGTTAATAAAATGCTCAGAAAACGACTCTATGAAATGAGTAGGGGCCTCCAGTGAGGGCCCTTTGTGGAAATATGTTAGGAATGCAGGGGCTGTCCTAAAGAATGTTCTGTACTAACTTTAACTGAGAGTGAAAAATGACTGCTTAGATAACAAGAACCAAACAAAATGAGAGTCTTATTCTAATGTGCTCTTTGAATGTCTCTTCAAATAATAGTCACACCACACTAAGTAGAAACAGCCCCCGGCCTACAAGCTACGTCTTTTGAACTGCACTAACTGCCTTTGGCACATTGAACTTAAATATACCATTTACTGCTAGTTCTAGAGAAGGCATAATTTAAAAACAAATTGCTTTTTATGTTTATAAACTAAAGATGTTCTATTAAACCTTTTATGTATTCCAATATAATCTATAAAACAAATTTAAAATTGTATTTATTTACTTTTTATTTGAAAGAGATAAAAACAGAAAGAAAAGCTCACATCTGCTGGTTCACTCTCTAGAAGCCCACAGAGTCGAGGCCAAGACTGGAGCAAAGCTAGAGTCATGATCTTCAATCTGGAGCTCCCGTTGGGATGACAGGAACCCAGCTACTCTCCAATTGCCATTGCCAGAAGCTGCAAGCAAGAGCCAGAGCTATGTGCAGAACCCAGGTAGAATTTCAGTGTGGTACACAGACATGCTAAGCTCTAGATAAAAGGCCCGTTAAGCCTGTACTGGGCCTGCATTTAGTTCTGCAACAGAAGAGGTAACTCAGAATCGATGTGGCAATTTCACTTCTTTTATTTTCCTTTTTTTTTTTTTAAAGATTGATTTATTTGTTTAATTGGAAAAGCAGGTTTACAGCGAGAAAGCGATACAGAGAGAAAGATCTTCCATTTACTAGTTCATTCCATAAGTGGTCACAATGGCTGGAGTTGAGCCAATTGAATCCAAAGTCAGGAGCCAGAAGTTTCCTCTGTGTCTCCCATGTGGATGCAGGGTCCCAAGGCCTTGGGTCATCCTCCATTGCTTTCCCAGACCACAAGCAGGGATGGGAAATGGAACAGCTGGGACATGAACCAGCACCCGTTATGGGATCCTGATGCATGCAAGTGAGGATTCATCCACTAGGCTATTGTGCCAGACCCAGGAAATCTACTTTCTTACATATTTCTTTTTTTCCTTTTAGTTGAAAAGTAGAGAGAGACACACAGTGAGAGAGATATCTTCCATTTACTGATTTATTCCTCAAATGGATGCAACAACCAGAGCTGGAAGAGACCAATGTTTGGAGCATAAACTCAATCTGGATCTCCCATGTGGGTGGCAAGAAATCAAGTACTTGAGCCATCATCACTTGCTTCTGAAGGAGAACATAAATAGGAATTTATTGGAAGCAGAGATGGGACTTAAACCTAGGCATTCCAGCATGAGATGTGGGAGTTCCCAATGGCATCTTCTTATAAACTCAAATTTAAGCCAATGTGTATTTTCTCTCCAAGGCAAATTTTGAAATGATAAGCAAATAGCTAAGTTTATTGCTTGGAATAAATGCCATCTTTCTTCTGAATGCTAAAAATAAATAAATAAATAAATAAAACGCTTCAAAACACACAGCTGCTCAAAGATGTGGGAAATGCCGCCCACCCCTCATTTTCTACACTCAGTGTTTTTGGTTGTCTCCAAAGCTTCACTTTATTTCACATCTGTTATGAAGTCTGCCTTAGATAGACTTGCATAAAGGATGTTCAAGTAAAACACCAGCTATAGTGAATGATCTAAGAGGAGTGGATAAAGAACTGAAATGATCCTTTCTTGGGACAGTTTTCATCCTGACACTACCAAGATTTGTATTGTCAATTACAAATTCATCTTGAATAGTTCATTGAGGTTGTCGTTGAAGGCCATGCCTTGCCACAGGCAACAAATGTAATTTTCCCATCAAGTATATTTGTGTATTATGCATGAAAAGTTTTTATGGTCTTTGTACATCGAATACTGCTGTTATAAGGCTTATTAAGGCAGACATAATGTAGATTATGATGTTTGTAAGTAGCTATAATGAAATAAAGAGCAGGTGAGCACAAGAGCCAAGACTGGGAGCAGCCCAGACCAGACCAATATATGGTTCCCGTTGGCATACATGTGGCTCAGGCTGGGCCACCTCATGACACCCACTGGCAGATCTGACAACCAGGACAGAGTGTAAGACAGACCAGGTTGGGCCACAATGTCAGCCAGTTCATATTAGGGCCATGACTGGGGCTGGCTGGTGGGCTCAGCTAGAGCACCTACCAGCAGAAGCTGGAATCAGGGGTAGATTGGGCCACACCAGGCTACAGCATCTGTTGGCAAATGCTGAGGTGAGGCAAGACATGCCAGACTAGGTTGTAGCACCCACAGGCACACGTGAGGCCTGGGAAGGAGGTGTGAGCCTAGTAGGGGGGATACAGGAGGTTGGGATCAGGGCAGATCAGGCAGAGCCACAACATCAGTTGGTCTGCATGTGAACAGGGTTAGGGGGAGAACCAGGTTGGATTAACTGACTGTACCCACTGGTGCATGCATGAACCTGAGTAAGTGTAGGCTGTTTGGGCTTTGCTGCAGCATCAGCTGGCAAGTGCTGGAACTGGGGGAAAATATTGTTGAGCTAGACTACAGAACCACCTGGAGAGTGCAAGATTCAGGATTGGGATTGGGCCCAATAGGGAAACAACGGGTACCTCTCTGATACGATGCCACTCTCACTGGTGAACATGAGAATCAGGGCTGGGGGCAGGCTTAACTAGATAGGCAATGGTACGTGCCAGCATGAGTGTGGGCTGGATAGTGGAGTCAGCTGGGTTGAGCTAGGCTTCAACACTCATTGACATGTACAAGAGCTGAATGGGATTTGGGACAGTTTGGACCAGTCTGTTTCACATACTGGCAAGCACGGGAACCAGGGCTGGGGGCAGGCCTAATGAAGGTTTTAGGGGTCACTCCAACTAGGCTGCAGTTCCCAATGGTATAGGTGAGGGCTGAGTGTGTGGTGGGCAGAGTTGGGCTGGGCCACATAAGAAATGGATCTAAAGACAGAACTGACCCAGCAATTGTAATCATCCCCATGGCTGATATAAGTGCCAAACTAAGCCAGACCCTCCCCTGGCAAGCATACACAAGAGTCAGGTCTGAGGTCACCTAAGACGAGGCTTCTTTGGATATTCCCTCACCTGAATTGCTAGACTTAGAACTCCAACCATGTGAAGAATCACAGGATTTGTGGTCTGAACGTGGAGTACCTGTGTCAGAACTGGGCCTCCTCAGTATCTTAGATGGAACAATGGAGAGCATACCAAGGTGCACATGGAAGATATGGCAGTGTGCTGGGGACCTGCAGAGGGTATCTTACACCATAGCAGAGGAAGGAGGGCAGAACAAATTGGTCAACTACCCCAGCAAAGCATTGACAGCAAATATCCATGTCAGTCAATGGACCTTGGAAAGAGTTCCTCATCCTTCGTTCAGTGAGACTGACAACACTTCAGCATTATTGAAACCACTTAAGCATGTCCCATATTTTGGAAGCTGGGATGACATCAGGTGGCCATTCTCCATCTCTGCATACTGAAGTGGGTGGGAGGCTGGGTATAGCTTCCTCTTGTCTCCCAGCTTCCCCCGACACAGGAATTTGGAAACAATGATCTCACCCACTTTCACCTAACCCTTGACCCTTCCAACCCTAATCAGCCACATATACATCGTCAAAGTAAAAATTTAAAAAGGCAATTATAAGTTATTCTAAGAACAAATTTAAAATGGAGAAATTGGTGGTAGGGAAGGGGTGAGGAACAGGGTAGATGGAAGATGACTCTGATTTCTGCCTTAGTAAACTGGAAAGGTTGTGCTTTACACCAAGATGAAAAAAGCAAGAAGAAAGCAGGTATGAAGAAAAAGATGATGAGTTGGCACTGGACAGGTTGATTTATCAGATATAGCCAACACAGCAAATGGATAGGAAGATCTAATTATTTTCTAGAACAGCACTCAAGATAAAAGGCAATCAAATACAAAGCATTCTACATCAGAAATATGTGGTCATATAAAGAGATATAATTTGGCCATGTCACAAATCTGCCATTTGTGGATCAGTAAAATTTAAATTGATGAGACTACTCATTGGAAGTATATTTCAGCTGCTGCTTGGATATTCAACTGCTTTCCCAGGCACATTAATAGGGAGCTGGATCATAAGTGGGACAACTGGCACTTAAAACAGCACCCATATGATATGCTAGCATTGGAGACATTGGCTTAACCTGCTGTGCCACAACAGTGATAACAGAAGCCAGCTGCAAGCTCATGCAGGTTGTCATTTTAACATCATGCATTTGGTTAGGGGCAAGCTTTCTGACTCCTGGCTGGAGGGCTCAGTTACTTATCCTGTATGATTCGTCATAGCCTTCCTCACAATACAACAACTTGCTTTCCCAGAGTGGCAGATTAGAGAGAAGGCCCAACATAGAAGTTACAGTTGTTTGTCAGCTATCAGGACATATACCAATCCCTGGGATATTACGGAAGTGGACCACACAAACCAGGATCATTGAAGGATGTCTTGCAGTCTGCATAGCATCGCAGGACAATGCTAATGGCAAAATATTAACTGAGAAAAGTAAAGAAAATATAAAGAGATTAAGCAGGCATTAATTCTTTAAAAACCAGAGACAGAAGACAATAGAAACATGCCAGAATACAAATATGTTTATCTCTATTTCATGACCATGGTTTAGTTTCCTTTTTGTAATCCTCAATATTTCATAAGAATTTTATAATTAACATGTGTTATTGTCATTATATTTCTTCAGAATATTTTCTAAAAGCTTAGAAAACACATTGAGCTTTTCATATTATTTGTACACCGACAATGGAGATGTTCAATAAAAACTCAAGTCCTTTACTAAAAGACACTGAAGTAGTCTACTAATTTAATATAATTAGCTAAGCTTAAGGTTATAGTTGACTTGTTTCTGAAACAGTTCCATATGTTCTCTAATATTCAGCATTTTGTAGAAATTCAAACATAGCAACTAGGCTCCCAAGCTTATGACCAATAAGATGCTTTTACTTTTCAGCTTGCCCACTTAGTGGAAAAAAAATGCTAAGTACCTGAGCCTGACAGTTCTTAAGATAACTTTGATTGTTAACAGACAATTTAATTCCTAGCAGATATCTGTAAAATAATATGTATTTGAATTGTAGTGCCATCTTAGTTAATGTACTAGTCTGAGATTTATGAGGAATTTGAAGGTGTTCTTGTAAAGAAAAATAGGTCTAAATGTTTATGTTTTATGTGCAACCATGAAATCTAGGCCCTGACACAGCACAGCATATGTTGGCATTTGGATATGTGAAAAGCAAATCACCAGGCCCTTGCAGCTTTTGTGCAATTTCCACAACCTGCTATGGAATGGGGTGTGCTTGTGGATTCATTTAGCCCTGAATGATGTCTGTAGAGGCCCAAATGAAGACTTTGCTGGTGTTCCAATGTTTACTGGTATGTCTTTCTGCAGGATGTCCGCTCTGCTTCTCTTCCCGCATGAGAGAGTGCAGATGTTCCTGAAAGTATCTTTGCACGAATTTACTTCAAGCAAGATGGGATGAAGCCCGAACAAAGCTGTCAGGGCCAGGGGGAGGAAGGCAGTTAGGCAGGGCTTTCCAGGTGACTGAAATATAAGCTTTTCTCCAGGAACCAACTTCATTCTGCTTTCTGAGAATGGATCCTTGTTGTCACAATGGCTAGAAATGTTCTAGAACTCTTCTGAATTGTCAAAATCCAATGTCCTCTTTTAGAAGGCAGTTGTAAATGTTCTGCTTGCTTCAACCAGGCATTTCCAAAAATATTTCTCAGTATCCTAGATATGGGAGATCAAATGTTAGGAAGGATAGGCCCAGGGAAAAAAGTAAAATCTAATTTGACTCTAGACAAGCGAAAGACATGAATGATTATAAAACCTAGTCAAAAAGAATTCTATAGACATACGTTCAAGTGTTTCTTATGTGATAAGGCCATTGCCACAGCAAAGAGATTTACAATCAGATCTTTAGGGTATAGGTGACTCAACAGGTGGAATAATATATTTATAAATGTTTAATAAATAACTGATGGTGTGTTGCCATCTGGGGAGCTACAAAGTGCTTTCTTGAAGGTGGGAGGCGTTGAGTGATGCCCCACAGATCTGAAGACTCATATGTGATCTGAAGTTAACCACTCTATCATTATTTGACCAGACAAGAGATTCTGTGAGGAACCCAAACAGCTGAGTCCAGTGATCTCAATCATATTTCAAGAAAAGGCATTCATCTGACCTGAATGCCTGGAGGCAGAAGCATAAGACGTAATATAACAAGGATGTAAGCTGTTTAATACTAACTGGAGACTTTGTATTAATTTTAAAATCCTTTTACTTTGAAGTTGACTTTCCCCCCCTGTTATTGTTGTTTAAATAAAAATTTCATTGATTCACTCTCCAAACAGCCACATCAGCTGGGGCTGGATGAGGATGAAGCCAGGAAGCAAAAATTCCATGCAGGTCTCCCATATGGGTGGCAGAAACCCAAGCACTTGATACA